AACGTTCCTGGTAAGTACTCACTACTCAGCGTCCACAACATATATACACATAGCACATTCATATATACTTGCTTACAATTGGTAAATGAGGTTGTGGCTAAGAGTTAAGATACTGACTAAAAATAAAAAATAAAAATAAAAACTGAAAATGGGGGCACCACCAAAATGAAGTGGACGAAATCCGTTGAGTTTTTAATTTTGGGTATAGGTAGGGGCACCACTTCGATTCATGACCCTCCCCTTGGAGTTTTCCTGGATCCGCCCCTGATCGCCCCAACCCTCCTCCTAATTTCGTGAATTTAGCAATTCCTTAGGAGCTGAGATCTTAGGGGGGGGGGGCGACATTCGTCCCAACCGCATTCCACCAGGCGTAGTTCTCGCAACCCTTCCACTGCGCGTGTCATTTGTTACCCATAAAAAATATCGCAGCATTCCCAATCAGCCACGTGGTCATTGGAGTGGAGATGAAACTAAGATGACAAAACTCCCGAATTCTGACAGCCTGTAGTATGAACATATATGGGTCACTCGACGTCATGTCGGTCACCTCATTACATTCGAAGCGATGAAAACTGCTTACTCAGTGGCAAAGATGATCTTATCATTCTAATTCACCTCAAGCAAACGTGAAACGCAGTCGTCACTTTATACCTGTTTTGCATGGTGCTAACTGCTATGGTTAGAGTCTGTATGTTGGGCGTTCAGGGCAGCGTCGTAAATGGCGTAACTGCTAACCATGGACTTGGACAGTTGTTATCAACCCAGTTTTTCGTTTGTAAATTGCGGCTATCAAATTGCAAAGTCTGATGCAGAGCGTCTCCATGTTGCGCCTTGCACGATGCCGTAGGTAGGTATACGCATGCAGGGTGTGAGCCGTAGAAGTGGTAGACTACGCTGTATCGTTTACTATCAACACATTTGTTGGTAACGCAACACGTGTCAACAGTCATAAACCAAACGAGTGTTTTTCTCGTATATTGAATTTTGCATTTCTTTGTAACCTCACGTCAAGGTATACAAAGTGTTCACCTGTCACCAGATTATTGCTCTCACGAAGATATTGCTGTGTCTTCTGAATTCATCATGCCATGAGTGCACAATTCATGTTTACATATAGCGGGTATCTCTTCGTACATTGGGCATTAATTTGTCATGTAATCGAATCCATTGACCTCTAATAAGTACTTGTTAGTACTTAGTAAGTACTAAGTACTTTTAACCCGGCAGGCGGTGGGCCTACCAGCCACCTTCCGCGCGGTGGGGGGGGGGACTTTTTTGCCCCCCCCCCGTATCTCCGAAACTACTGGACGGATCCGGAAAATTCAAACGGCGTTCGATAGCCCTGTCAAATTTGTCGAAGGAAACCAAGTTTCATTGACCTCGGGGTCACCGATGACGTCACAGGTCAGGTCAAAGATAAAATGTTTCACCGTTCACGGGGCCTCTAGGGAAAGCGCTATCACCGAGTAAAACGCATTTTGTCGAAAATCAGCGATAAGGCGTCAGTTGTCTAGTACATATGTTGCTGTTAGAGGTCACTGGTCATACCAGGTCAGGTCACAGGTCAGGTCACCAAAGGTCACCAAGGGTCACCACATGAGCCCAACTTTACTAAGGTTATGCGATGCATGTTTTATGGCCAGTTTTTCATTTCCAACTCAATGGTGCTGGTTATAAGACCATCAGGTACGGTTTAGGTCACTTTCTGGTGGAGGTCAGGTCAAGGTCAGGTCAAAAAAGGTCAAATTTCAAAGTTGATATTTTTGCATAAAATGGGTATCGATTCGATGCAGCTCGTCACGGGGAGTCTAATGGTGGTCTTTGTTTTGCGCTTCGAGGTCTAGAATTGCTAAAAATTGAGTTTGAAAATTTGACGTCATCAATTTTGAACAGTTTTTTTCGCTATAACTTGGCCAAAAAAGAGGTATCAATCTCAAATTTGGTATGTAGATAGAAGGCGGTAGGGGCTATCACATATATTCCGGTTTTTTCGAAAATCAAAAAACTTTTTGGATTTTTTGGCTATTATATTCAAAAAATATATTTTTTAATTTTTGGGGGTCAAATTCCAAAAAATTCGAAAAACCGAAATAGCAGTTTTGTAGTCCTTTTAATTCCACACCTTTTATGTCAAAAAAAAAAACATTTTTCTGTATCTGTAAAGCTGTAGGCCTGACAGCTCTTCCCGCGAAACCTTTTTTTGGGTCGAAAATGGCAAACATGACGTCACTCTGACGTCATTAGCGGCCAACCTATCATAGCCTTTGGAAAAATTTTTGGTCACCATGTGCGCTAGCTGCTCCCGGGAGGGTACTGAAAGTTTGGTGACGATCGGCGCAGCGGTTCTCGAGATATATCGAAAAAACTAAAGAGAGGGCAAAAAAATGCCCCGGTTTATTCCCCGGTTTTCAAGATATTAGACTTTTACTTTTGTTTACTTTTTTGGGATCTCCGCTGTTCCTAGCGACTTCTTTTGGAAGTGCGTCGTTCGCGGCAGATGTTGCGCGCAAATAGCATACACCACCACTGCTTTACAAAGATGTTAGTATAAGGTTTTAAAATCGTTAGATCACCGCTGACGTCACAAATTCTAAGGGGGCATCTCAATGCATTAGCCCCTTAGAATCCGAAAACTGCAAGTTTGAAATTCCATATCTCCGAATTAAAGCATTTTTCGATGTTGTGAGTGCCCAAACCGGTATTTGCAGGCCATGGCCGCCAATTTGGCTATCTCAACTCAAAACTAATGTTAAGGTGGGATGGTCACTTTAACCCGCGACCTGGTGGGGGGGGCTATTTTTTGCCCCCCCCCCCCTCCAGACTTTTCTATATATCTCCAGAACCGCTGCGCCGATCGTCACCAAACTTTCAGTACCCTCCCGGACATCAATTTTACACATTGTGACCAAAAATTTTTCCAAAGGCTATGATAGGTTGGCCGGAAATGACGTCAGAGTGACGTCATGTTCTGCCGTTTTCGACCCAAAAAAGGGTTTCGCGGGAAGAGCTGTCAGACCTATAGCTTTGCAAATACAGAAAAATGATAAAGACATAAAAGCTGTAGATTGGACAGGGCTACAAAACTGCTATCTCGGATTTTTGAAATTTTTGGATTTTGACCCCCAAAAATCAAAAATAGATTTTTCGGATATAATAATCGAAAAATCCAAATTTTTTTTTGAATTTCGCAAAAACCGGAATATATATGATATTCCTTACCGCCTTCCATCCACATACCAAATTTGAGATTGATACCTCTTTTTTTGGCGAAGTTATAGCGAAAAAAAACTGTTCAAAACAGGTGACGTCAATTTTTCAAACTCAATTTTTAGCAATTCTAGACCCCGTAGCGCAAAACAAAGACCACCATTAGACTCCCCGTGACGAGCTGCATCGAATCAATACCCATTTTATGCAAAACTATCAACTTTAAAATTTGACCTTTTTTGGCCTGACCTTGACCTGACCTTGACCTGAACTTCACCAGAAAGTGACCTAAGCCGTACCTGATAGTCTTATAACCAACACCATTGAGTTGGAAATGAAAAATTGGCCATAAAACATTTATCACACAACCTTAGTAAAGTTGGGCTCATGTGACCTGACCTGTGACCCTTGGTGACCTGACCTGTGACCTGACCTGGTATTGCCAGTGACCTCTAATACCAACATATCTACTAGGCAACTGACGCCCTACCGCTGATTCTCGACAAAATGCGTTTTCCTCGGTGTTATAGCGCATTCCCTAGAACACCCGTGAACGGAGAAACATTTCATCTTTGACCTGACCTGTGACGTCATCGGTGACCCCGAGGTCAATGAAATTTGGTTTCCTGCGACACATTTGACAGGCCTTTCGAACGCCGTTTGAATTTTGCGGATCCGTCCAGTAGTTTCGGAGATACGAGGGGGGGGGGCAAAAAATAGCCCCCCCACCAGGTCGCGTTATAAACAGACCCCACCAGGGCGCGGGTTAACCCTCGCATGTGTGCGGCGTTTGCCAGCTTCTAATGTGTAGGGGGGGTCAGTTGGACCCCCCCCTTGCCGTTTGGCCCCTGATCGAGCTAGAGCTTCGCGGAAAAAACGAGCGTGTTGCCCGTGACGAGAGAAAGCCGATGATACCCAATTTTAAGGTCCTAGGTCATTGGTTGACCTTCCAGGTCAGGTCAATGACCCAAAGTCGGGAAAATCGGGACCTATTAGAAAGTCGTAAAGTGTGGCTGCTAAGGGGTTTTTCGGGGTGCTGATCACGAATATCGTGTTAGTTTTGATCACAGATGATGTCTTTAAGCATTTAGACCAGGTCGGGTCAGGTCAGGTCAGGTCAACCAGTAGGGGTTGTGACTGGTATTCGCAGTACGTATCAACCGCCTCTGACAGCTTCGTAACATGTTACGAAGGCACCAAAACTACTTCGTAAATGTTTAACTGGTTGCTTAATTCGAATTCAGCTCCAAAAACTAGCCTAGAAACATGTAAAACTCGAAAAAGTGAACCGAGGTCACCCGAGGTCACCAAAGGTCAATGACCTGACCTGACCTTCAGGTGACCTTGACACCCACCCTAATGCATGGGAGCAACATCAAATCACATGTTTGAACGTTTGAAACCATGAAATGCTTGCAAACGCGCGGCTAATACGAGCCGACATACGCGGAATCGCGATTCCGGCCAAACATGGTCTCGGAAAAGAGATCACAGGTCAAAGGTCATTTGGGTCAGGGTTATGAAATTTTCAGGGTAAGTGTAAAATTGATCAATGCGAGGGTACTGAAAGTTTCGTCGCGATCGGCCGTTTTTTACGCGAGTTATTCGCGAAAAACCATGGGGGGGTCCATCCGACCCCCCCCCCCCCCCCTACACATGCGAGGGTTAATGATCGAATCATGCTGCTGGGCCAAGGCCATTGATAGGCTGCTGCCTAGAATACAAGGTTTTAGTTCACATGTGTTTTGTTAGGTTTTCCCATGGTCTTCCTTCCCCTTTTACGAGTGAAGTAATGTTAATGAATTATTTTTATTTTGAATTCATCTGTTTACACGCCTTTGGTGACATAGTTCATGCATATTCAATATCAGTCTGTATTTAATTTAAATCGGCTTTATCGGCTTTACATATATTGATTGTTAACTAATTACCAAGCCGAATATGTTTCAGTCTGTATTTATGTGCATTCTCATTCCATCCGTAAATTGATGGATTGAAGTTTGTCCGGTATACACAAACACAGCACTGCGACAATCCCCACCACCCCCGCGCCTCTGGATCTTTCTGCCTACAGGGGAGCGTTGCGACAGTTGGTCACCCGGACTGTTTCATCTTCCAGGTTCAGGTCCACGCTGCAGATGACCTGGTTGTCGTCGAAGCTGACCTCTGGAACCTTCCGGTCGGCGTTTATACGCACCTGAAACGCGAGGCCCGCTGTCATCTCGTACACGCATAAGGCATATTTATTTCATTGTAATCCTCTCATGCGTGTACTAGTTTTATGTTTGGTTGTGTCATAACAATACCGACCACTAGGACAGCTTTTAAATTGTTATAAAGATGGACTTGTTTCTGTCGCCAATTTAAGTCAAACATGTGTGCTATCCATGACAGAGATATATATATATATATATATATATATATATATATATATATATATATATATATATATATATATATATATATATATATATATATATATATATATATATATATATAAACGACAATATATTCAAATACACAGTTAAAAAACAGAGCTTTCGGTAACAAATACCTTGATCACTGTGTCTGCTAAAATAAAGGCATCGAAACTAGCAAGGTTCGATGTTCGGTCACTTTTCACAAATGTTCCGGTCGATGAAGCACTGGAAGCAATAAAAGAAGTCGTCGATGAAATGGATGAAAAAGCTCTGCCGCTACCAAAAAGTGATTATCTAAAGCTGATGTCCATGTGTATGCACTTTGGGTCATTTACATTTGATGGTATCGAATACCTTCAAAAGAGTGGACTAGCGATGGGGTCACCTCTCAGTCCGGTGGCTGCTTGTCTATTTATGGAAAAGTTAGAAAAGTCAAAATATAGCAACATTATCGGAAGTGACTCGACCTGGATACGTTATGTTGATGACGTCCTCGTAGTAGTACCGAAGAACATGAATTTAGAAGATAAGTTACAAGACTTGAATGAGGCCCACGAAAAGATACAATTTACTATAGAGAAGGAGGAAAACAATGAACTGCATTTCCTCGATACATGCATCATCAAAAGCGAGAACCGTTTCAAATTCAAAGTGTTCCGGAAACCAACCAGCAAAGAAGACTATGTCCATTTCTACTCAGGTCACAGTGAGAAAGTAAAAAGCGGAATAATGATTGGTTTCTTTTTGCGTGCTTTCGTGTATGCGACGACGAATAATTACAAGATGAGATCGAGCATATCTACTCTTCGTTTATGAGGCTCAAGTACTCAAAAGGATTTTTGATTAAACAAAAAGAAAAGCCAAGAAGATAAGGAACAGGTCTCAGAGGGAAGCGAGGCCAGAGTCGAAAAGATGGATAACGATTCCGAACTCGAAAGAAGCCAACGAAATATCACGAACTCTACAGAAGGGAGGTGTGAACGTAGCGATCAGTTCTGGAAAGAAGATAGGCGTAATGATCGAACGACGTAAAACGAAACATGGTTCCGAAGCGAATGCGAAAAGTGTTGTGTATGAAATTCCATGTAAGGGGTGTGGACAAAGTTACGTAGGGGAAACATGGAGGGGGTAGATGTAAGGTTAAAGGAACACAGGAATGACGTCAGGTTCCATCGCACATCGAATGCGATCGTACTTCACATTGAAAAGTGTAACCATCTGCCTGACTGGGATGGGAACCATATTTTAGAAAAGAACATGACAAAACGAAAACGCAAAATCATCGAAGCCGCTCATATTTTCTCACGCGAAATATTTAATACTAGGAGTGGATTCATTCCTTTAGCGTCTGGTGCTGTTCGTCTAGTAATAAGTAGTCCCTGAACTGTATCCCGTGCGATGAAGTCAATTTGCCTTTTGAAATATTTGAAAAATATTCCTTCATTTTAGCACACACAGTCTTATATATGGCCTATATATGGCCTTGCACACAGTGATCAAGGTATTTGTTACCGAAAGCTCTGTTTTTTAACTGTGTATTTGAATATATTGTCGTTTTTATATTAAGTCAAACATGCCTGAAACAATTTATCAAAGCATGTAACTTTACTCCAATATCTTTTATATCTGTATGTACCCGTCTTTGCTCACATTGGATTTACCTATATCCCTCGCCCGTATTGGTGTTTTTCCAGCCACGAACGTATAAGGGGGAGGGGGTCCGTTGGACCCCCCTTGCCATTTCGCCCCTGATCGAGCTAGAGCTTCGCAGAAAAAAAAACGAGTGTGTTGCCCGCGACGAGACGAAGCCGATGATACCCAATTTTAAGGTCATAGGTCATCGGTTGACCTTTCAGGTCAGGTCAATGACCCAGAAGTCGGAAAAATCGGGACCTGTTAGAACGTCGTAAAACGTGGCTGCTATGGGGTTTTTCGGGGTGTTGATCACGAATATCATGTTAGTTATGATCATTGATGATGTCTTCATGCATTAAGGCCAGGTCGGGTCAGGTCAGGCCAGGTCAACCAGTAAGGATTTTGCCGGGTATTCGTAGTAGCCTCTGACAGCTTCGTAACATATTACGAAGACACCAAAACTGCTTCGTAAATGTTCAAATGGTTGCTAAATTCGAATTCAGCTCCAAAAACTAGCCTAGAAACATGTAAAACTCGAAAAAGTGAACCGAGGTTATCAAAGGTCAATGACCTGACCTGACCTTCCGGTCTCGAAAAGTAGGTCACAGGTCAAAGGTCATTAGGGTCAGGGTCATACAATTTTCAGGGTAGGTGTAAAATTGATTAACGCGAGGGTATTGAAAGTTTCGTCGCGTTCGGCCGCTTTTTACGCGAGTTATTCGCGAAAAGCAGAGGGGGGTCCGTTCGACCCCCCCCCCCCCCCTATACGGGCGAGGGATATATTATCTTAGCAAAGGTAGGTACACCTGTCTTGAGTTTACCATAAATGCATAAGAATTAACCGACCGACTCTTGTCGAAGCCGCACAGTTTTGATACTAACCCGCAAGACGTATTTGCCGGATCTTATATCAGTAACGTCGATCCACTGGCAATCGATGTAGGAGCCGTAGATATCGGCACAGCCAGCACGGATGCCCTGGGGCGGCCGGGTGCCCCGCTCTATGTAGCACTGGTACTTTTGAGTAATTCCTGAGGACATGCGACAAACAGATGGGTGCTTAGTATGGTTCAGAAGCAATAACGATACAGCACAAACGTAACGCACGGAAAAACGAACCAGTGTAATTGTGCTTATCAGTGATATGCATACGTTATGCGTCATATGTAAATACACAATACACATCATAATCACATGGTGCAAGTACATTATATGCTTTATACTTTATACATGTATGCTTTATACGCTAAGGACATAAAAACGTGTTACAGTTAAAACGCTGGTGCACAACGATCACGTATCATTGCAAAGTTCCCACCTCTTCTGCATTCGCTGTCTTCAAGGCAGAAGGAGGCCTTATGTCCCTGGGCTGCCTTGGTATCCGTTCCTTCATATGTAAGGTCGTACTCCGAGAAGCTCTCTTCGCTGTGGTAATGCCTGAAACGAGTATGGTAATAGATAGGTATGTGAAGAGGATGAAGTTTATAATTCACAAGATCTGAGAAAGTACACACTAAATCGATGTCGTCTCATTTATAAATGCATCTTCACACCTTTGTATGGTACCTACGAAATATAATGTGAGGTGATCAAATGTAAAATTTAACGTAAAGGTACCGGCAAACACTAGCGCCTTGACATCTTTGAAAGTCTGGGTTTGTGTTACAGCAAGCATTTGAAGTGCAGCGCGTTACTCACTCGTGACAGGCGTGCCACTCCCACTGGGACGGGTCCGCCCTGGGCCGGTAGTCCGCCTTTCCATTGTTCCACACCTTGTTGGTGAAGCGGAACAGCTTCCTTGTGCGCGTCCTCCACAGAGTGGGCTCGCGACGCTTAATTTCGGCGGCTGGAAAATGATTTAGGATGTTACTTAGATGTGCCTTACCTGACTTCGTACGGCTATAAGTCATGATTGATGATTTTCTATATCGATTTATTTGTATGATGTCGTTTTACTTTCTCGCCGGTATTCAACTGCAGGCGAGAGCTGCAATCTACCTCTTCCCCTTGCATCACTGTTCCAACCTGCAGCTCCCCGCGACCCCCGTTACACAGCTGCTGCCTGCTGAGGGCGGCCACCTCGCCCACTAACCGGTCTTGGCGAGGCAGTTCTCGTCGAGGGCACACTCGAGGTCACCCAGTGTCTCGGTGGTCAGGATGGCGCTGTCTTGGAGCTCCTGAGCGTCCACTCTAAGGTCTGGAAGATCTGTAGGGAGAGAGGAGAGATGGAGTTAGAAAGCTGTCATCCTCAGGTCCAGAGGAGTTGAAATGAGAGAGAGAAAGAGAGAGAGAGAGAGAGGGAGAGGAAGAGAGAGTGAGAGAGAGAGAGACAAGGTGAGCTAGAGCGCTGCTTTTTTCAGGTCCGGTGACAAAGAGAGGGTAGTGAGCATGTAAGAGCGTCATACCACCCTCAGGTCTGGCGGCGCTGTGCAGGACAGAGCGAGAGGGGAGAGAGTGAGAGATGAGTTATCGTCACAGCTGCAGAACGTCGAAGTATCGATGGAGCGCGACAACATCCTTTAGGCCAGTGGTCGGCAGGTCCTCCGGGGTCGTGCCCCCTTTTTTTGGCACAAGGCAGCGCCATTACCCCCACCTGCCAGGCCCCATTGGTGATATAACCAAGTTTAGTGAAATTCCATACTTTTCCGCGACTCTGGGTACCATATCTGCGAGAAACCACAAGCCCCCCCCCCCTGCTGTTTCTTGCAAATATCTCAAAAACGTTGAGCGCCACCATTTTGTCACATTTTGTCTTACATCTTTTTCTGCACATGTTGTGAAAATTTCATTTTGTGAAAATTTCAGACCGAAGTCGCTCAAAGTCAGGTAACCAGATCACGTCAAGTGACCTCATCTCAGTAAAGACTGTAACGCCTGTTGTAGCTACACAGAGTGACAGATCTCTTTCAAATTTTCAGGAATTGATAAAGGCAACAGAATGTAAAAAATTTGTGCCTCGGAGATTTAATGTCTGTGACCAAAGGTCAGCTCACTTTCACGCCCTCTCTCGTTATCAATGGGAGAGGTCGCAAAGTCAATGGTAAAAATTGAAAGACGCCTCTTTTGGATGAGTGTCATTCCTAACACTGTGAAGCACTGAATCACAAGTAAACATGACCGCTGAACCGAAAAACTACACCCGCAACCCCGCCATGTATGTCCCTGAGGTCATTTCAGGTCGTGAACGGTATCATAGTTTTTCGCTAATAACTTTTGATAAAGGCATGCCAGAGCGATTAAAATGCCTTAGATGTGTTTAGCTCGACGACACGGATCACCTGATGTGCAACAAGACCTTTGATGCTTCTCGACGGGAGGAGCACGATGCTGATAAAAGTGCGCTCTTGCAAGTTCTGAGTGAAACGCTATTGAAGAAAAACTAGCAGCAAACAACGTACATTTTATCAGCAAACAACGTACATTTTAGCAGTTTTTGTCTCCTGAAGGCTAAATCGTTATTCATTAGGTTAAATCTGGGGGCGTCATCAGAAAGAACGGAATTGCTAATTGAGCTAATTGAGTATCGAATGCGTTTTTCCACAGCGCTCTAACTCTATCCTTTCCTGAGCTATAGGCCAGTTTGTCGAAAATTGTCAAAGGTTGACCTGGAAATTGGCGAAATTTTACGTTCGATGACCTCTGGTGAGCTGACCTTTGACTTGACCTAAAAAGTGACTGTAGTTCTCCTTCATCATTTCTTACTCTCTTTCGAACGCCGACTACGGCGTTTCGCTAGTGACCCAGGAGCCAAGTTAGTAAGGGGTGTTCAACCTCCACCTCCAGCAGGGCGTGGATACCCAGGAGCCCCATCGGGGCGCGGGTTAACTCCCACACGCATAGGGGTTGCGGGTATTTTTCGGGAATAAAATAGATCACGTTAAAAGGGTCGGATCACGAAAAATGTACCCTCGAGCCGATCATCTTTATCTGTCCTGAAAATGGCATGACCTTAACCCGAATAACCGTTGATTTGTGAGATCTGTCTTGAGATCATGGCAGGACACAAAATCTCACTTCAAGAAGTTACAGCAAGAGCCGATTTACTCGGGACTTGTCATTGACCTCTGGAAGGTCACCAAATGACCAAGAACCTTTAAATTGGGTAGCAGCGGCTGCCTATCTTCATGGGCAGCACGCTCAATTTTTCTGCAAAGCTCCAGCTCAGAGGCCGAGATGCTCGGGTCAGGGTGCAATGGACAACTCCTCTCCCTTGCGTTAGTGACTGTGAAAACGCCAATAGGCGAGCGCCAGTTAATACATGACAGTTACTTTTGCGCGACTGTACGGAATGGTGAGCAGCTATGTACATACATGAAAATTGGCATGCGCCAGCTAATCAGTTCATGTTTTGTTCGTTTGCCCTCGACTAATCTTTGAATCCTGGGGCACAACAGTTGCGATGTCTGTCCCATCAAGGGAGCCATTAATTCTAAAAAAGATGAGGCTTTCTCAGAGGCCCTCATTACCCCCCGCCGAAGGGCGCCATTACCCCCAAAGGGGGCATGCCCCACCATTTGCCGACCCCTGCTTTAGGCGAATGATGTTGATCGAAAACAGCAGAAAGCACCAAAACACAAAACTAATACATTTGTAGAAGCGAATAGGTACGAATGGCGGCTTACCGCGGGACTGCTGTCCGGCGCACTCGACTGCTGCGCCGCTGAACTGGTTTCCGGCACAGCGGACCGAGGCGCCCCTCACGGAGCGGCACTGGGCTAGGCTGGTCTCGCGGCCGGAACACTCCACTCCGGCCAGGATGAACGCGCCGCTAGCACGACGGCCTGACAAATAACACAAAAGTTATAACATTAAAATTATATAAATGATTTTAGCATGATGTTCTCCGGACTTACTTTAGAGAGCAAAATAGCGATATATGCACATACCTATATGTCGGATTTACCTAGTGGGATCAGGGGCCTTCAGCATAAGCGAAATGTGCATCGGCATTGCGAGGGAGTTGTTGAGATTGGACAGTATAAAAGATACTTTTAGTCTTCACCACGCTGGAGCATTTCAATGGGAGGTCCGAGTAATTCACTTACTGCTGAATAATTCACTTACCACTAATGTACGACCTCTTGGCGGCTCCCAGGCTCAGCTGACGGCACACCACCGTGGCATCCTTCAGGTCGAAACCGTCACCGCAGACGGGTCCCCAGCCTGCCGGGGACAGCGATACCAACATTTGAGTTAGTATGCTGCTGGCTGCTGCAGTCAACTTATATGAAATAATGACCATGATTTCATATTTAAAACGAAGTCCCGGCATCTTTTAAAAAATGCCAACGCTGTAAAATCCGGGACCGTACAACTAAGCCTGTCAGAAATGGTGGATAAGGGTAAATAAGCACTCACCGCGGCCACCATATCGGACCTCGACGTCGCCTCTGGTGCCGCCGCCTCGCAGACGCACATCCATCCTCTGCAGCAAGAGTCTCCCAGGTTAGTGGTGTAACCGGTGACACAGACGCCGAGGCGAATGAATGGTAGGTATGACTGATGAAATCTGGTTCGGGAGTACGAAGTCTATTATCAACGCCATGCCTACAAATCTATAATTTATGGTTTAATATGTTTCATTTTCACGCGTGCGAACACATAGCAGAAATCCACGGCCTCTGCCGAGGTACAGAATTCTGCGAAACATAATCCACTTTATAAATTCTACGAGCAAGGGTACATCGTGCTACGCATACCAGTCGAACCGCAATATGCCAATAATGCGGCACACGCTGCACTGCCTCGCCATTAAATACTACAGACTGCTTACTGCCCAGTGCCCAGAGTTTCGGACCTACCCCTCCGTAGGGCGAGGACGGGTCGGTGCCGCAGATGACGCCGGCGATGTTGTTGGAGCGGCAGGAGCCCTCGGTAGTGCCCAGGCCGCGATAGAAGCAGTCGCGCAGACCGCGGCCGCCGGCCCCCACCTGACAGTTGCTGACCATGGTACCCGTCCCGGCTGCAACCAGCGCCGTGCTCTGTTAACCACGGCCCCGCAATACACAGCGAGCGGCTTCGATCTCCTCTCGACGATCCAGCCAGCATTTTCTCAGACGATAGGTATAATCCGTTATTGATAGACTGAAGTTGAACCATAGACCTCTGTATGCAGAGGTTTATGACTGAACAAATGCCACCTTTAAAATGATGCGATGTAAATATATACCTATATCAAAATAAATGGCATATTTAGTGTCTGCACTTACTGCTTCTGAATCCGAAGCGTCCATTTCTGGTGGCGACGGCGGTTCCTGGGAAGCCGAGCTGTCTGCAGACGGCCTCAGCGTGAGCCTGGGTCCAGCCGATGTCACACACCGACCTCCAGCCACCAACGACACCACGCGAGCCGTAGATCAACACCTCCACGTTACCTGTGCGAAGACGAGTTGCAAAATGAATCGTCTTGAACTGTTGGAGGCCTGTTACGTTGAGAACGGGTAGTGTACTAAGTAACACTGCGTTTGTCGTAACATTTAACAAGATTAGCACAAATCAATGCATTGGGCACACTTGCCGTGTTAGATTAAAAGGCTCATGCCTAATTTGGCGCAATACAAAGGTATTTTTGCATCTTGTGGGGTAATATCTTTTCAATTCGTGCTCATTAACTTGTAGCTAGTTTAACCCTATTCCTGGCGGGGGGGGCCTCAGGAGCCCCCCCCCTGAGGTTTTTTGGTTATATCTCCCAAACGCGTTGAGCTAGGAAGCTCAAATTTTCTGACTTTTCCTAAAAGGCTTCTACGCAACATGTCTGAAAATTTTGAGTTGATCTGACCTCAGGTCAGGTCACCAGAGGCGGTTTGGTGACGCTACCTCAGAAAAGTTTGCAATCACGCCAGAGCTAGAGTTTTTGACCGATCAATTTCTTCTCTTCAGGGTTTAGTTAGGGTACCAGTATGTGCAATTTGTATATCTCGGAATTTTGATATCGGTGACCTAAGGTCAGGTCAATTTCGCGACCTCCCCATTATAAGTCAATGGGGTAAAAATCAACTCCCTGTTTTTACCACTAAAACGGGTCGGAATGGCCCCATATACCATACATGACTTCATATACGATCAACCTTCACTACCTTGAGGTCTGTTTTGCTGTTGGGCAGCTGTGAGGTCATGTGACGTCATCAAAGGTCACCAAAGGTTTTTGGCCGATAACTCCGTACAGGAACAAGATACAGACGCGTGGATGGTCTCATTGTGTTCAGCTCGTCAAGACGCATCGAATGATATACATGATGACCTCGAGGTCACGTGACCTGAGGTCAACCTTTGACCTTGACCTTTCGAGGTCAACATATATATCATTCGATGCGGATTGACGAGAGGATCACGATGATGCCCTTAGTTTGTTCCTATCTTGACTAATTCGAAAGTTATTCGAGAAAAACTCTCTCCATAACTAGTGCCGCCATTTTGACTTTTTCGACCCCTGTGACGTCATCTTTGACCTGACCTGAAAATGACTTTAGTAAAAATTGTAGATCTTGGCCGTGCGTATCCGATGCCGTTTACCGCTTGTCGCTATCTTGCTTCGTTCTCGAGATCTCAGGGGGGGGCCGAATCGGCCCCCCCCCCGCCAGTTTCTTGTCCCGGCGGAGCCCGCCAGGAATAGGGTTAAGGTTGCCATTTCAATAGTTTAACGCTATATTTTTCCGTAGAAAGTCGTGGGTTCAACACGACGTGCAGCCTTCAAAGTGGAGAGCTTATCGCGCAAAATGTTTAGTGTCAAACCGGCCGAACTTCCCAAAAATTGAATCTGCCCATGTCAATGCATCTGTTCCTGAAGTCCTATAACGTCACATCAATATTCATGGCAATAGTTCAGAAAAGATTTGGTTTGACTTATACTCATATGTGTGTTATGAGGTTATCGGTTATACTCGTATATCATCTTGTATTTTGTAGGTATAAATGGATTTTAATTATTTTGCCAATAAACGAAGTGGTCAATAAAAATCTAGGCGAATGTCCTGCAATGAAGAAAATTCGTAACGGCCTCTTAACATTTATATGTGAACAGAATATGCTGCTAACGCATGTTGAACGAGTGCATTTAACAGTATCTGGAAGTGGTGTCTCTGAAATGATATCCGCCCTGACTTGGTTACGGTCGACTCGGTTCTGTTGTGGTTCCGCTCGGTTGCGGTTATCGCTGTGGTTTCCCATACCTGCTACATTGCATGATTAAATCGAGACATCCAGGCATTTTAATGGCACGTGCACTGTACCACACTTTTCAAAGTTTAATGCAGTGCTTTAATAATGCCAGCCGTGTGGTTCAAGGGGTGTGGTTAAACGCGTTGAACCACACGGCTGCTGAAGTCACTATCAGTTATAGTTGTGAGCTTTTTGGCAGGTATGGGAAACACCTTCCAGCCCTAAGGCCGGGAATTCAATAAATGTCACCTCGCTTTTTTAGCGAAAAGCACCTCGGGCCTAACGGCTCTCGGAGTTTTCGCTAAAAAAACCTCGGTGACATTTATTGAATCATCCCGGCCCCGGGCAGGAATATAATTACCTTCGCGAGAGTTGCTGCCGCCGACGAGTCGGACGGAGAACTGGCGCTGGCCGAATAAGCTGGTGAATTCGGGGTACCAGAAGGAGGTCCGCGTGCCGCCCCCACTGGTGCTGTTCCCTGGGCGGCTCAGCGACCCAAAGATGTCTCTGAACAGGTCACGGAAGCTCTGGCCGCTGGCGGCAGCGGCCAGCAGCGTCACGATCAGCAGAGTCCGAGGATCCATGGCTGCGGGCGGGGACTGCGCGCGAGCTGTCCGACACCTGGATAGTGGTCACTGGGCGGCCGCGGGGGCGTCCGTCAGCGTCCGGCACGTCACAGCGAGCCGCGCGTGACAGCTGTGACGGCCGGGACGGCCCGTGCGCGCCCACCAGCCGTCACTGCCCTCCGCGCGGGTCAGTGGACCCGGCGCTCTGAGGGCGACCCGCGCCCGATCAGGGACATGATGAGTTAACCATCAGGCGTAACAGAGGCCACCCCTCCTTACCGGACCCGACAACCACCGAGGGTGACGGTGATGGGTATTTGAACGACCCCCGTCCCAACAGACATGACACCCCACCTCGGCCACCACCCCGTCACCGTATAATGTCGTGACCTGTGGCTCGCGGTCTCAGCGACGGAAGGTCGATACGGTGGCTGTTTGGCCTTACAGGGAGCGTGTGATTCAGCCCTTTGGTGTGATTCATCCATTGGATACGGTTATCAGATTCTGAGTTAATGCAATAGTATTCTTTTTCGGTATTATAGGAATGGTTTTTTATGGAGAATTCAGGAATTTTGAATTGTTAGCCCTCGCCCCGTTGGGGGGGGCATTTAGGCCCCCCTGTGGTTTTTCCTAAATAGCAAGCAAACGGCGGCGCGCAGCGCCGCCAAATTTTCAGTACCTTCCCGAGCATCAATTTGACACCTTCACACCAAATTTCAAGTCTTAGGTCATCTTAGGTCAGGAGTTATTGAGGTCAAACTGAGGTCATGTTCGAGCAAAAATGAGCAAAAAACATGCAATCTTGAAACGCTCACCAAATCTACAGTTATCAAGCAATTTCAAAGTTCTTTAAATGGTCTAGTAGACAAAAAGCGGCGCTACCAAACTGCTATCTCAGATTTTCAAAATTTTGGGTTTTTGACCAAAAAAAATTAAAAAATTGATTTTTTTTAGAAAACTGAAAAAATCCAAAATATTTCCGAATTTCGAAAAAACCGGAATATATGTGATAGTCCCTGCGCTCTTCTATATACATACAAAATTTCAGATCGATATCTCGTTTTTTGGCCAAGTTATAGCGAAAAAAAAAACTGTTCAAAAATGATGACGTCAAATTTTTGAACTCAATTTTTAGCGATTCTAGACCACGGACGGCAAAAAAAGACCACCATTGAACTCCCCGTGACGAGCTGCATCGATTCGATACCCATTTTATGCAAAAATATTAATTTTGAAATTTGACCTTATTTGACCTGACCTTGAACTGACCTTGACCTGACCTTGACCAAAACGTGACCTAAGCTGGCCCCAAAGGCTGCCTTACCCACATAATCGCATTTGTCATGTAAAATGGACCATAAAACATGTATCACACGACACTTTCATATTGTGACCCCCCAGTGACCTGACTTCTGTGACCTGACCTGGTATCAGTGACCTCAAATAGCAAAATATGTGTTTGAAGAACATTTCCTTATCGATGATTTTCAATGAAATGCAGTTTACTCGATTTTACAACGCATTTCTTGAAATGCCTGTAAACGGTGAAAATTGGACCTTTGACCTGACCTGTGACGTCATCGGTTTGACCTAGGTCAATAAAATTGGGTCACAAGGTAGTTCTCTGATAGGGCTATCCAACACCGTTTGCCGCTTGTCGCTAGGTTGCGTGGTTCTCGAGATCTTAGGGGGGGGGCCAAAATGCCCCCCCCCCCAACAGGGCGCGTTGCTCGGCAGAGCCCAACGGGGCGCGGGTTAATACGGCAAACCGCTTCTAAACAAGATCTTCTCCACAATTCCATTCATCCAACATAACATTGAATAGACCAATTCGTATATTTTGCCTTTTCTAGTTACATAAAATCACGCGTTCTCGGGTAAGTGTTTGTCACGCCGCGTCTTTAGAGCGGCGCCAATCGGCAGTTGGAGACCTGGGTCCTCTCCCGCTCCAGGTCCAGCCGGACGCGGCAGATGACTTGCCACGTCTTCAGAGCGGCGCCAATCGGCAGTTGGAGACCTGGGTCCTCTCCCGCTCCAGGTCCAGCCTGACGCGGCAGATGACCTGGTTGTTGTCGAAACTCTCCTCAGCCACCATGCGGTTACCGTTGACCCGCACCTGAAATAGCAGGACGGATGGATAGATGATGTAGGACGTAACAAAGCCGCCGCAGAAGCCCAGTCCCACAGTGTTGGCCATTGGAACTGACACTATTGGGGGAGACGGTGTCGGAAAAAAAGATGATGAATAGCGTATTTCCGCTATTCAGGCAGGTAGTCTCACAAATGTCCTTCAAGCCTATCCATTTGCTCTGATTTCATTTCAATGACCGTGTGAACAAAATTAATGTTTTATTGAATCGTATAACAAAATACTCAGGATAAATGACATATGCTATTTTGTTATTTATGTAGGCAGGTAGGTACGAGACAAGATATCTTATCTTGCGCTCGCTCCGCGTCGCTTTGGCCATAAAATGATTCGGGAGAAAATTTGGGATCGATTGGTGTTTTTCCGGTGACAATCAGACGTCTAGACGGTTAGATGTAAACTTGCTGAACTTGCAAAAGTACTTGGTACTTGCTCGGTACTTGCAAAAGTACTTGGTACTTGCAAAAGTACTTGGTATTTGCTTGGTTCTTGCAGTAGGAAAAGTTGCCACTCTACTCCCATCCCCCTTTCGGGAAAATTCCGGGTTCGTCGGGTAGGAAAACTTGCCACTCTTCTCCCGCCCCCCCCCCCCAGTTTCCCGACTCTACTCCCGCCCCCTCCCTTCGGGATAATTCCAGGTTTGTCGGGTAGGAAAACTTGCCACCCTACTCCCCCCCCCCCCCTCCCCCAACGGCCATTTGGTGTCGATCGGTGTTTTACCGGGGTTACATGAGCGATCCGTTCCAAATACGCACTACGCTAATGCGCATCAGCTCCCCACAACGTATCTACGGCACCGGTTACATGAGACTAATTCGTTTTATCTACGTCAAACGGATCTTGTTTGGCTCACCCGGGCTGACACCTCGACGGCCGGTAATTCGCATCACAAACGGAATAGGATTAGCGTACAGTCATGGCGCAGTTGCGGCATTTACCGGGACGACTGAGCTAAATTTTAAATACTTTTATCATTTGATAGGCTCAAAAACATCTAAAATTAACATGAAATCAAAAAATGAAAACAAAGTTTTCTTGTTTTAAGTCAGTGGGCACTGATTCGCCATGCAGTGACAGCAGGGTGGTCAGAAAAAAATTATCTATCAAAATATTTCATTCATTTTATTTCACATGCAAAGACTAAACCAAAATACCAACATTTTTTTTGCTATTTTCTACGAGGCAGCCAATAAAAAAATGCTCAGTATTTTGCATTTTGACGCTTCCAGTCAGCAAAGAATAGTTCTTGTGAAATACGGCCCGAATCGTGTGCCTCGGACGTTTCGGTTACATGAGCGATCCGTTCCAAATACGCACTACGCTAATTCGCATCAGCTCCCCAAGAACGCATTCAGTGCACCGACTACATGAGCAAATTCGTATCAGTGACGTCAAACGGATCCAGTTTGGCTCTCGGCCTGACGGAAGGTAATGCGCACTACAAACGGAATAGCATACAAATGTGGCGCACTTCTGTAGCAATAGAGGTGACTGAATTAAAAACTTAATATCTTATGACTTTTTTGCATTTAATCTGCTCAAAACATTCTCAATTAACTTAACAAAAAAAAGTTAAACATAAAGTTGTCTTGCTTTGACTCATTGAGCACTTGCCTCTCTTGATTCGTCTGTAGTGCTGAAGTACTTTGATATTTTCTTTTTGGTTTTCACTATATTTATTTTTGAAAACTTGACAAAATACCGACATAGTTTTTTAATTATTATTTCATAAGAAGCAAATGAAAAAATACCTATTATTTTGCATTTTAATGTTTCTTTTTGGAAAGAGATAGTTCCTGTAATACGTATCTTGGTCCTATTCGCTTCTAAGCCTCTTTCCCTGCGGATTTTGTTCGGACCGCCGATTCGTATTAGCAGGTGGATACATGAGTCGGTAGTACGCTCCTGATTCGCATTAGCGGTGAATCCGATCGTGATACGTATTTGCTTTGCTCATGTAACCGCGGATCGGATCGCCGATTCGTACTAGCAGGTGGCTACATGAGTCGGTAATGCGTTCCTAATTCGAATTAGCGGCTAAATACGTATTTACTGTGCTCATGTAACCCCGATATTTGTCCCGTGTGAATCGGTCGTGAATGAGCTGAGATATGCACGGCCCCTTTGCTATTCGCCCTCATTCTCCGCTGAAATTATGGCTTTACCGTCTCTCTAATTCAAGTTATTCAACTTTTCTTGGATTACAACAGCAGCATTCCTCCGGCATTTTTTTAGCCGACCTCCTGCGAACACTGACCCGCAGAGTGTAGGGCCCCGACTGAAGGTCAGTGACGTCGATCCACTGACAGTCGATGTAGGAGGCGTAGACGTCTGCGCAGCCGGCACGGATACCCTGCGGGAACCGCTCACGGCTGGTGCCGATCTGACACCGGTACCTCTGGGGAATGCCTGGGGAGTGAGGACAACACAGATCAGACAGACGGAGGGGTACACAAAGTGACATCAGCAACTATGTATAAATATATAGTGACTATATGTATTATAATGGAGACAGCTTCGGTACCAACAAATCAGCCTGCCACTTTTTTATCGATTGGTTATGTATTTACCATCACTCTGCTCCCAACATTCAAGTAACTTTGAGAATGAGAAAGAACTCAGGGCTAATGTGTTTTGACGGACAACGTGAGAGCCAAAGGTCACCTCATGTCGAGTGGTAACAAAGGGGCAGTTTCAATATGCACCTCACAGCATATCCATAATCCAACTGAAATATCAGACCATTTTGTCTTTGTTGAAAGTAAATGATGCAGAAATGTTTAACCCTCGCCCTGGCAGGGGTTCGATGCGCGCAGCGCCGCCAAAGCTGGCACAGTCTATGGGGCAACCTTTTTACATATGACCTGAAAATTTCATGTCCGGGTGACCTTGATTCAGGTCACCAGGTTAGAAAAACCGGTACAAGGTCATGGTCAAATATCAATTTTCTTTTTGCACCTGTCCATCTCACAGTTTTGGACTGATTTCCTTCAAACTTTCAGGATGTGCTAAGTTCACCGAGTTGTATAACATATAGTTCGGGTTTTGTGATGTCACTGACCTGAGGTCAATTAGAGGTCATTACGTCGTAATGTTAAAGGTAGTGTGCCACCTTTGAAAGATTTCCCATTTTATTTTTCCTAGGATAAGAAGTTTCTGTTTTTAC